GTTGCCTGTTGGCTTCCTTGTAAAACCAACAGGTCCCTTAAAAAAGACGCAGGAACGTCTCCATGTCTCGGCACTTGGTGCCTATTTAGCATGAGCAACAGCCATGTTTGCCTGGTCTAGGAGTTAGCCAAGTCTGCTGGGGCCATGGCTATGCGGGTTACAAAGCTTGACTGCTATTGGGCAACGGATCTTCAGACTTTAACTTTTTGGGAAATCAGGGGGGTTTCCACTAAACCCCCAAAAAGTGGAACTTTTTGCAGGGGGGTCTACAGCAGCCAAGACAGGGCCACGAGGAGATGCACCAGGGGTTGCCAGCCCCCGAGCTCACTCGCACGCTTGTCGCCAAACGCTCTATTTCCCTTGTGGGTGACTTCGACCGCCTTTTTTGCCGATTTGAGTTTCTTTCGGGGCCGGAGGTGTGTCCCCACACCACGCGTACTTGGTTCGGGTACCTTTTCGAGAAGAGTCCGGGCGGAGGAGTCCTATATGAAGAGTCCGAGCGCAGACCTCTAGGGACCAGGCAGATAAGGAAAAAGAAGCCAGCCGACCGAGATCCCAGGATCCTCGAAATGTGCAGCAGTGGATCCAGCACGGGTCAATCAGTCGGACTGTAGACTCTGTAGACTTGCATGTTGGGCAACCAGGGCAAGCAGCATCTTTGGTGGCTGGCCATTTTTCGCCATGTTCCGGACCTCCATTAAAATTTGGGGGCTTTTTTGTTTGGTTCCGCTCCTTGCTGTTCGGGAACCCGTCGCAAAGGTCAAGGACCGTGCACTGGTGGCGCGGGACGTGCTGGCGCCGCAGTATGCATCTTGGCAAAGCAATGGTTCCGGGCGTTTTGTGTCTCTTTTTTTTTGGGGGGGGTTAGACATGGTATACGCGTAGTGCAGCGCATAACAAGGTGATACTTGCATTCATAGAAATTTGCCATGTATCAACACGCATTTGGACCTCCAGTCGGTCAGCTGGGCCTCCAAACGGAGGTCCGGCCGGATCCGCAGCGCCATGCGGCTCGTGCATTTTTTTGTGGTGTGCGGTTCCTTTTTCCAGATCTTACCTCTTAAAAACACTTTTTTCCACTTTTTGGGTAACATGGGCTATATGTCTGTAAAATATTAACTTCCCCAGGGCTTGGAGTTTTAAGGAATTTTAAGGAATAAGAGATGGCCCAGGTTGAAGACTTGGCTTCTGCGACTTGATCATTTGGAGTCAGTGCTTGGTGGTTTTGAAATCCTAGTTCCGCTTATTGTGCTTTTTTGGAGCTAAGAATCTAGCCGTTCAGTGGATTCCTTTGACTGGTTTGGTCTTCCAAATTTATGGCCGTGGGGAGGGGGGGGCAGGACGTCGCATAAATAGCCAGATAGCAAGCACGGCTTGCAGCTGCAGCGCTGGACACGACATGACTGCAGAGAGGCGACCCTGATAGCGAAGCTTGTAGTACAATATATGTTCCATCTATTATAAGTTGATATGATTGATATGTTCTCTGTTTGGTCACCCATGGTTCGGTCGAATATATCTCTCCACATCGTTGCTGTCGCGTCTTGTCCCCCCCATACAATGAGCGGGAACCAGCCACACAGACGCGCGCATCAGTTGTTTGATGAGGCACTGGCACAGTCGGCAGAGGTATGCATTCATTGTCATTTCAATTGGTCTGGTCTTTGGAAAAGCTGCATCGCTGACGACCAGGGGCCCAGGGGGCGGGGGCAAGCTCGGCGTATGCCAAGGCCAGCCCTATGCGATTGCTGCACATCCTGGAGCGTGCAGGCGAGTGCTTCAGAGAGATGCGGTTTTAGATCCTCGAAAATCTCACTTGTCCAAGGGTGATCCTGTGACCTGGTGACCTCTCAACTCAACTGTTTGGGTTTGGTCTGATTTGAGCCATGATTCCAAGAAGGTTGCCTTTTTATTTTCAGTGTTCTGAATGGACAGTTCAATTGAGTTACAACCTAATTGGCGGATATTGGCGGTATTCGTGCATGTGTACACACAAACATACCGGGCAAGACTAATAGACCAACACTGGAGTTTTGTTTTTTGGGGTTGTAGTGTTGGTTGTATCAGATCTGCACAATCCTTTGACCGTGGCCCTCTAAGCACTGGCGTGTTGGAGGAAGAGTGATGACATTACCCAACAGCGACATGGAGCCAGACACACTCGCATGGGCAAAGAGCAGCGTGCCTTAGTTTCAGGATGTTGTGCAGCTGCTTATGAATGAGGGATCAGCTTGACAGGCATCTCCCATGGGATTGGGCTTGCAACCCAATTTGATGACTGGACATGCTGCAGGATGTCCTGCACTTACGGTGTTCGACCATTGCCATGACCCTCATCAAACAAGTGCCTGAGAAATTCAGAACAGCTCGTGTAGCCCTTGGTAAGTGCTTCTGTTTGCAGCGCACCTTTTGACCCTTTGGCCTCTCAGGTTTTGTCAATGAGGTCTTTGGGCAAACCCGAAGCAGCCGCAAAGTCTTCCCTCCGCAAATAGGACGTCTTGGAGGTTCCACACCGAGTGTTCGGTGCGGGGAATATCCGCCGGAAGTTTTGCACAAGCAGTCCACTGACAAGTAGCCAATTCGTGCGAGTGTTTCTCAAAATGGTGGACCCCCTATCTTCAGTTGGGCCACTATGTTTGTTGCAAACCTCCATGCAACATGCGTCCGTGCTTCCGTTGTGCGTCAGGTGTCAGGATGGAGTACGAGATTTCGGAGCCGCGCCCTTGCAGACGGCTTCCACAAGAGAATTCCTGTCTTGGGAAGTGCACGTCAGGTCAGTTGTACAGACAGAGAGAGCGAGGGAAAGAAAGAAATCATTGAGTGTGCGTGTGTGTGTGTGTGTGTGTGTGTGTGAGCGAGCTAATATTTTACAACATGTGTTCTGCAGATTGTGGTTGCGAATTTACATATTGTCTCCATGTTAGTTGCACGAAAGACATAGTGATATCCAGTGGCCTCCGATGGTGCTTTGGCAAGATGGCGACCTCTAGCGGCCATCTTGATAAGCGTGCAATTTACTTGGCTTGGGGCATGCTCCATTGTTTATAAACTCGATGTTTTCAATGATGTGCTTCTGTGATATGTTGTTGACATGTTGTTTACAACAAGTAAATGTGTCAGGTCAAAATTGGTGTTTAAAAGCAACCCAAAAGGAATCTACCACTTTGGAGGGCTTCAATATATTGTCATCAGCCACCTTGACTGGCTCTTGCATGCTTGACGGCTACGTGAACAACCACATTCATACAAATACCGAGTTGTGTCAGAGGTGGTTTGTTGTTGCATATAAGTATTGCATAGGTCTGCCAGAGTTTGTCTGGGATTTGACAAACACAGGCAAGGCCAGTGTTTTGCTCGTTCTCAGAAGGGAGAGTGAGTAGACATATTCGAGCCATCCTTTCTCAACCAGGGTCCATTGATGGTTGGGAGGGGGTCATTCCTATATAGCAACGATGGGGAGGGGTAAGGTCCAGGAAGAACAATACATGTCTTGTAATGTCAAAGACACGGGCCCGGGACCTTTCATCCATGTCAGGTAAACCATCTGGCCATGAATTTCATGGTTGGAAGCCCCTGAACAGTGGTTGGTGGACATAAATCCCCACTGAAGTTTGATGTCCACGAAAGGGTTCCCACCCGGAGGCTCCTGGCTTCGGCTTGCAATGGAAGACTCGACTCCATTAGACACCCGGGAATTGGTGGTTGGGGGTCTCAAAACCAGGTTGTTTTGAAGGCCCTAAATCAATCGGCCACGTATGGGCCGCAGCAGCTAGGTCCAGCTCCAGTAAGACCTTGGACCCAGAGGTCATCGTCTTCATGCCGCCAGGGATGCCAAGGCCGAATGCACCTGTGAAAAAGGCGATGTTCGCCAGACCCCAAATGCGCTTTTGTTGTGTCCTTCATGAACCCGTGAACCAGCAAAGAGATTGTTTTTGTTTTTTTTTTCAGGGGGGGCTTAGTTTGGTCAAGTGATCTTTCTCGTTTTGGTGTACTTGTAGTGATATAGCCTTGAAGGGTTGAGCATTTGTGTCCATATCAGTTGGACAATGCAAGATGGGTTTTGTGCAAAAAGTCATGTTTGGGAGCCATGCTTTTTAAGCTTGCGATAGTGATAGTGACTTACAGCATGGGACTTGGGCTCGCAATCATTGACAAATGGCTGACTGACCAATGCTCCCAGCAATCTAGGGCCCCAGCCACAAGCTAGCATGCAAAAATGGAGGCCTGCCCCTAGATTCTCTTGTTAGCTCAAATTTGGGCAACGTTGGCATAGGCGGGCAGGAATCCAACCCCCGCAACCCGCCTTGCCTTCGATTGGTTTGCCCAACACACGCCCCAAATGAGGCCACTGGAAAAGCTTCCTTGAACAGAATTGAGATCTGATTTTACAAAAAAGTCATCAACAAAACAGCATTTGGCAGGAGACAGATATGTCCACCTTGAACTGGGCTTGTAGCGAAGATGGGCCAGTGATTCGGATTGAAGCCAAAGCAAAATGGGAGATGGGGGGGGTTGTCTCAAAATGAATCGCGAACCTCTTTTAGTTGGTGTTTAATCGAAATCAAAACAGAAATCGTACAGTATTTTTGGACAACCCCACATGTTGTGTGTTTCCTATGCAAGAAGCGAAACGGAAAGGCGGAGTCAAACCCGCCTCCAACCCTGTTGCATGCAACACCCCTCACTTCACGCTGCTTTTTGACGGGGCAGTTTTATTAGCCCCCCACGTTGGATGTAAGAACCATTTCTTGTGTCAAATACATTTGCCTACTGGGTACATAAACCTCATCCACATTCAAGTGAACCACTGTTGCCCGGTGGTGCCCATGTTCCCGTTTTTTGGGGTAAGGGTTCCCCTTTGAACTCAACCAACCAAACAAAGGCGCCCTGTTTTCCCCTGGAAATCCGCTGGGCATCTGACGATTGACCTCGCTGAGGTCGGACACGCCTGAGCGGAGGGCTCGGAGGGGCGAGCGCTTTGAGGGTCCCAGTCATCTTCGATGTCCGGGAACAGGCCTGCGATCCGCGGTGAAATCACGTCGCTCATCCGGGATCAGGCCGGTCACTCGACCTTCGGCGATCCGGGTCTCGATGACACGATGGAGCAGATCCGCAACGAAATGCGCCGTTTCGCGGAGGACACCGTTGTTCCCAATGCCCATGAATGGCACCTCAAGAACGAATACATCCCCCTTGATGTCGTCAACCAGATGTCCGAACTCGGCGTCTTCGGCCTCACTATTCCGGAAGAATTCGGCGGACTTGGGCTCGGCAAGGAAGCCATGTGCGTGGTATCCGAAGAATTGTCACGCGCCTATATAGGCGTCGGTTCCCTGGGAACCCGGTCCGAAATCGCGGCGGAGTTGATCCTTTGCGGCGGAACGGATGAACAGAAACGGCATTGGCTTCCGAAGATCGCTTCCGGGGAAGTCCTGCCCACGGCTGTCTTTACAGAACCGAACACCGGATCCGACCTCGCATCGCTCAGGACACGGGCGGTCAAGGATGGCGACACCTGGAAGATCTCCGGCAACAAGACCTGGATCACGCATCCCGTGCGCGCGGACATCATGACGCTTCTCGCCCGCACTAACCCGGACGAAGCCGGTTACAAGGGTCTGTCCATGTTTATCGCCGAAAAACCGCGGGGAACGGACGAAGTCCCGTTTCCGGCAGACGGCATGAGCGGTGGCGAAATCGAAGTGCTCGGTTATCGCGGCATGAAGGAATACGAAATTGCCTTTGACGATTTCGAGGTAGATGCCGAAAATCTTCTGGGACAGGTTGAAGGCGAAGGCTTCAAGCAGCTCATGCAGACATTCGAAGGCGCGCGCATTCAAACGGCGGCCCGAGCGCTCGGCGTCGCCCAGTCCGCGCTCGATCTCGGTTTGCGCTATGCCGAAGAACGCATCCAGTTCGGCAAGGCACTGGTCCACTTCCCGCGTGTGTCCGACAAGCTCGCGATGATGACTGCCGAACTGATGATAGCCCGGCAGCTGACCTACTTCTCGTCCTGGCAAAAGGATTCCGGCAAACGCTGCGACCTGGAAGCAGGTATGGCCAAGTTGCTCGGCGCGCGCGTTGCATGGGCCGCAGCCGACAACGCTCTGCAGATCCATGGCGGGAATGGCTTTGCGCTGGAATATGCCGTTTCCCGCGTCCTGTGCGACGCGCGCATTCTCAATATCTTTGAGGGAGCTGCGGAAATTCAGGCACAGGTGATTGCACGGCGCCTGCTTGAAACCCGCGGGATCCAGTAGGGCAGACAAGGAAACAGCCGGTCGTGCCGCCTCTTGTCTTCCATTGCGCAAGAACGGTGGTGATAACACCAGCCTGTTCGCCTGAAACGGGTGCTGTCGTTGAATTCTTGTATTAATCCCCCACATGATATGGTGGCAGGAAACGGGAGACCACAACGATGACCTCCTCTTTTTCATTTGAAGACTTGGGTTTCGAAGCCGAATACCTTGGTCCGGAAGAAGAACAGAAAAAGACGGTTCGGCAGAAACTGCTCGCAACGGCCAGGAAGGCTGCTCGGCAGATCCCGTTCATGGAAGATGTAGTGGCCGGATACTATTGCGCCCTTGATCCGGCAACACCTGCCAAGGTACGCGTGTCTGTGCTCGCCGCGCTCGCCTACTTCGTCCTGCCTATCGATACGATTCCCGATTTCCTGATCGGCGTCGGCTTTGGCGACGACGCAACCATTCTGATGGCCGCGATCGCGATGATCCGCGGACATATGCACGACGATCACTACGACGCCGCACGCGAAGCGCTGAAGGATGGTGATTTATAGTCATCAACTGCCGGACATCGGCTCTTTGGGCCTTTCCGGCTGCCAGCAACCGGATGTGCGGCCGGCAATGGTCCAATAGACAAGACCTGCCAGGAACCCGGCTGCCAGGACGACCACGCTTCCAGGCCTCAGATCACCGGTTTCCCCATCAAACCCCACGGTCCAGAGCAGAAACGCAATGCTGCCGCTTGCGACCAGGTGAAAAACAATCCCCCTGAGACGGGCGAGTTCGGCAATCGCAATCAAAATGCCCGCCGGCACGAAGGCTGCCGCCCCGACGACACTTGCTCCGACCAGGCCGGTGCCGACCATCGCCCCGAATGCAATCGGGTTTTCATCGGGATGCGCAGCCTGGAAAAAACCCCATGCCAGAAAGAGACCGCAGGCAACAAGGCCGAGGATAAAGCCAAGGACAATTTTAAGGAGTTGAACCAGAAATTTTCCGCCGTCCAATTCAAGCACCTCCTTTAAATTGCCCGCCAAGCCCTTACTTGAGATGTAATCCTTCACAATGCAACAGCTGGGCAAGAAAACCTGGCACCTGACAGCCAACATACCTGCTACACGCACACACAAATTCAGCGAGAGGCAGAATCGGCGATTTCGGTTGACTTTTTGCCGGTTTCGCAGGAATTTACCGAGTGGTGCTAGGACATATGCAACGGAAACCTTGGAGCATGAGTTCCGAGGGTTTTTTTGTACCTTGCAGAGCCAGATTCTGGCACCAAGTTTAAACGATAGAGGAGTTAGCGACCATTCGCCGTCCGTTCCGCGCCCCGCCCCCTACGAAGGAAGGCCCGCGCACTAACCAAGAAATTCGCGTTCGCGAAGTCCAGTTGATTGATCATGAAGGCGCCAACCGCGGCGTCATATCGACCGAAGAAGCGATGGAAATCGCGATGGATGCAGGTCTGGACCTTGTTGAAATCCAGCCGAACGCCAATCCCCCGGTCTGCAAGATTCTGGACTATGGCCGGTACAAGTATCAGGCTCAGAAAAAAGCTGCAGAAACCCGAAAGAAGCAGAAGACCGTCGAGATCAAGGAGATCAAGATGCGTCCGAACATCGACACGCACGACTACGAAGTGAAGATGAGGAACATGCTGCGATTTTTCAACGACGGCGACAAGGTGAAGGTCACGCTCCGTTTTCGCGGACGTGAAATGGCGCACCAGGACCTCGGCATGAACCTTCTGAACAAGGTTCGTGAAGAGACCTCCGAGATTGCAAAGGTGGAATCTTCTCCAAAACTGGAAGGCCGCCAGATGGTGATGGTTCTGGCTCCCATCAAATAACCGCTCCATCGGTAGAGACAAACAAAAACCCCGCTTTCGCGGGGTTTTTTAATTTACAGCCCAGGCTGCACAAATCCTGAAGCGCCATCGGGTTTGCGACGTCAAATCGTCATCTGCAAATCAAACAGGTTGCCTTTTGTTGCGGCGTCGAGCCGCCAGTCCCAAACCGGCAAGACCCGTGATCAACAGCAGGGCACCTGCAGGCAGTGGAACAATCGTTGGTGTTCCGTTGTAATAGATCGACGCGTGCGACAGACCTTTTGTTGAGGCCCAGGTTCCTGACAGAGGATCGGGAGTCGTGAGATCGAGCAGGAACGCACCAAATCCGTTCCCGGCCTTCAGCGTGATGACAACCTTGGTCAGTCCCGCAAGCGTGTCGATCGACCAGCCTCCGCTCTTCGTGCCGTTAGTCGGCCCAGTGACAAAATCGATCGTTCCGTCTCCGTCAGGGCCATCGTTTTTGTCTGAAAGCACCCATCCGGTCATTCCAAACAACAAGAAAGAGTTATCAATCTGGTTGGTATCATTTCCAGTGAAACAAGCCGCGGCAGTTGCGTCAGACAACGTCAGGGTAGCCCCGGAACCACCAGCAGATGTTGTGCAGCTCATCGGTGCCGATTGTGCTGAGAAAATCGACGCCCCGAACATGGCAAAAGCAAGCGCAAGCATGCTTGCCATGGAGCATTTGAAAATATGCATAACTCACTACTCCAGAAAATACTTAGGATGAATAAAGTCCTAAATTCAAACAGTGTCAAATTAATTCGGGTTAATTTTCAGGGCGTTACGGTAAAACACAACCAAAAACAATCTCTTAGGTTGATTCTCCTTTCCTTTCCAGGGCGATAAATCGCCCATATTCAGTCACCAATCCCGGAAAACACTGTTGTTTCAACAGTCTTTGGCAAGTTGCAGCCTTGAGAAAATTTTACGGCATTCGAGAAAACCGGCAGTATCAGGCAAACAAAAACAGATACACGAACGACCTCAGCATGGATTGCTCGCATTGAGTATTGATTTGATACCGAAGGAGAATTCGGAACCCGAATATCAGTTGACCCTGGTTCGGTTGTTCAGCAAGGTCAGTGATCGTCAGCCCAAACACGCAGTAATTGGAAAAATCGCGTGATCATCCTACTGAACGGTTACCCTGGTGTCGGCAAACTGGCCATCGGCAGGGAACTGGCCACCAGGCTGAACGGCAAGCTGCTCGATATCCATTCAGTCTACAACGTCGCCTTCGCCCTGACGGAGTTCAAGTCACCGGAATTCCGTGACACGGTGGAGAAGATCGAAAAAATTGCCCATGACCTGATCCGGAAACTCCCGTCCGGACAACCCGTTGTCCTGACGACCGTGCTTGCCGGTCAAGGCGACTGGGGCGATGCCGAATGGCAGCGGATCGAACATTTGGGCAAGACACGCGCGCCGTTCTGCGTCGTTCACGTCAAATGCGATCTGGACGAAAATATTCGCCGCATCCAGGATGAAGAGCGCGATCTGAAACGCAAGCCTCGCGATCCGGAATACGCCTTGCGAAACCATAGAGAGGCAAAGCCGCTTTACGGAGCGGATGCCAGGTATCTGCTGGAGCTTGATACAACCCGTATGACCGCGACCGAAGCGTCGTCTGCAATCGCTAACTGGGCGCTCGAACTGAACCGGTGAGCGCGCGGAACATGGATCCGCACAAAACGCACGGATCTCTTTTTGGTCCGAATTGCTTCAGGGGACTACGTTCCGGACAGTATCAGGAACACCAGTGCCAGGGCGGCAGGTACGAGACGCATCACAAGAATTGAATTTCCTTTGGTCCCCAGGGCACCAATTGCCGCGGTAAAGACAATCAGCGCAAGTACCACGCCCTGCACCCAGGCCTGGGCAGGCACCGGTAGCCAGAAGCTCAGGCAAAGCCCGACACCTACGGACGCGTTGTAAGACGAAAAGCTTCGGCCGAGGAACGCCGTTTTCTCAATCTCTTCACCTGTCAGATCGGTCAGCTTTTCGCAAAGATCCGGCCATTTGAACCATTGCCCATACGCAAAGAACAAGTGCCCGCCGATAACGGCCAGCATCAAAAGCCAGTAAATGTAAGTCATGTTTCAAATCCTTTTGATCTTAAGTTCGCGCCTTTCAATTGCCTGGGTCACCTCGGCGTCAGAAAACTGGCACCGAACCGCATCATCATTCTTACGAACTGCGTGCGGTTGGCGCAGTTCGATTTCGCAAGGATGGACTTTGTCTGAGCATTGACCGTTGAGACAGATCGGTTGCGACGGTCTGCAATCTCGGGATTGGTCAGGCCTTCCCCGATCGCATCAACCAGCGAAGCTTCGGCGGACGTCAGTCCGAAGGCCTGCCGAATTCGGGTCTTGTCGCACATGACCGGCAGGCTCGTGTCCGTAGTGCACAGGACAAATCCGCCAAAGAGACCGTTGCCGATCTCATCCGACTTCTGCAGCGGTGTGATTTCGATGCACAAAGGAGTGTCCGTGTGGCTGAGGATACTTTCCTTGCGGGGACGGCCCCCGAACCTGCCATGTTCGCGCCAGTCCGACATGAGACGGTCAAGCTGGCTCTGACCCGACCGGTCCGCAATCCGCAATTGACCGCCCTGACCGACGCGAAACAGCCGATAGGTTTCCTGCTGGCGCCTGAACTCCTCGTTGCGCGCAACTATCATGGCACGGCTGTCTAGGACGCAGACACCGATCGCAAGTTCATCAATGGCCGATAAAACCCGCTGATACCGGCTTTGAAGTTGACGAATGGGAATGCTGAGATCCAGCGCTTTGGCGACATGCGGCAGGACTTGCGACAGAAAATGCCGCTCTTTTGCATCCAGTGGATTTCTCGCGGCATTCAACTGCACCGAGAAGAGCGAAAGCCAGCGATTGTCCTTGTTCATCACTCCGGCGGCGCGGTGAAATATTCCAAGGCGCATCAGCTTCTGGACGTGTTCCTGCCGTTTGAGCTCGTCGACGGAAGACGCAAGCAGCGTATCGTCAAGCAGTGCAATCTCGTCGTCATCATGGGTGTGTTGGCGAATGATCGCCTGATCCCGGGCTTCCATGTCCTGGCACTTCGAGAGATACACCGAGATCGCATCGGAGGAATAATACCCGGAATGAATCGGTGCGGTCAGTCGGCGGTCACCTTCGCTGTCCTCCCATTCAAATATGATGCTTCCCTGCGCTCCCACGCGGTCTACAAGCTGATCGAGCGCGGCGCCCCAACGACCCCGGGTCTGCAACGGCATCGTATATCTTGAGCGTCAGGTCCTGGATCTCGTCAGACAATTCGGTTCAAATCCACTGATTGCAAAACGGCGTCTTGCAACAGCTTATTCGGTTTGATGACCGGTGTCATAGCCCATCTGGAGGATGAATTTCGGGCGAGACAAGGCGGGCAGTCAACTGCTCGCCTCTTCAAAGACGGATTGACCCCGCCGTATGGTCTGAACGACTGAACAGGCATCCAGGTTATCCGAATGCTCAAGCGGATTTCCGCTCAAGACTGCAAAGTCGGCCAGCTTGCCGGCCGATATGGATCCCCGTTCGTCTTCCTGAAAGACCTGCCAGGCGGCATCGATCGTATGTGCCTTGAGCGCCGATCTGACTGAAATCCTTTCTTCTTCACCCAGGGTCCGTCCCGAAGCGGTGCGTCTGTTGACAGCGCACTGTATCAAGTGAAGAGGTCGGGTCGGCGTCACCGAAGCATCATTATGGATCGTAAAGCGCACACCGTGACGCTCGGCCGAGGCGGCCGGAGAAATGCGCGCCGCACGATCCGGCCCAAGGAATGTGTCGTGATGCCGGTCCCCCCAATAGTGAATGTGGGCCGTGAAAAAACTGACGGATACTCCGAGCCGCGCCATGCGTGCCATTTGGTCTTCCCGAAGAACCTGCCCATGGATGACGGTATGGCGATGGTCTTGACGCGGAAAGTCTTCCAGCGCGGCCTCAATCGCATCCAGAAGATTGTCTGTGCCCGCATCGCCGTTGCAATGACAATGGATCTGGAACCCCATCCGGTGCAGTTTCCGCACCTGGTTGAACAGCTCCTCGCGCTCCGTATAGGTCATGCCGTACGGAGAATCGGGGTTGAACGGCTTGTAATAGGGTTCGCTGAGATAAGCTGTCTGCAGTTGAAAGGCTCCATCTGTGAACAGCTTGCGCGGGCCAAGCGTAAAAAACCGGTTGTTGCGCCATTGCAGCGCCTCCGGGCCGCTGGAAAGATCCGGCTCTAGCTCCCCGATCGGAAGCAGAAGAATGTCGATCCCGGGATCTTCACCTTCGGCAAGACTGTTGAAATGCTCAAGCATCTTGCGCGTTGACCAGGCATTTTGTGCAAAGGTCACGCCTTGGGAAAGATATTCGTCCCGACAGGCGTTGAAGCCGGGCCAGAAGCGTTCGCGATCGATCAGAAAATCGGTATCACTCATGACGCCCATGGCCGACAGTCCCTCGATCAGACCGTTGGGTTCACCGGTTTGCAGATCACGTCCGAACCGGCCCCCGGCCGGATCAGGCGTTTCCTTGCAGACGCCGAGCATATTCAGGACAACGGAATTGGCAGCGCCATTATGCCCCGACGCATGGATCACCCAGACAGGGTGTTCGATTGAGACGTGGTCAAGTTCCGCCCGGGTTGGCATTCTTCTCTCGGCAACGGCTGTGTTGTCGAAGAGCACGCCCATGACCCACTCGCCCTTCGGCGTTGCCGCTGCCCGCTTTGCAAGTCTTTTCAATGCTGTCTGGATGTCGAGACAGTCGCCCCGAGGTGGCGGAGCAAGATCGACCCTGAAGAGCTGAATGAAACCGGGATCAGGGAAATGCCCGTGTGGATCGATGAAGGCCGGGATCATCGTCCGCCCCTTGAGATCCACTTCTTCCGCATCCGGTTTCAGTGCTGCTCGCAGTGCCGCCTCCTCTCCAACTGCCAGAATGCGCTCACCGTCGGTGACGACAGCAGAAACGATCGGCAGGTCGTCGTCCATCGTCAGGACTGTGCCGTTGAAGTAAAGCGCCTGTGGACTGCTCATGCACGTTTCCGTAAATCAGATTTGCTTTCGAGCACCGCCGTTTTCACTTTCTTGAACGGCGGTGCTGCACAGCAGCCGGTTACGTCATCCACCAGCGATCGAGGATCCGCCGGCCGTCGAAGCCGCGCACCCAGGATAGCTCGCCATGGGCGATCTTTTCGGTGCGGGCATGCACTTCATTGGCGAACATCGGTACGATGTTTCCGCCCTCGTCCCGAAGAATGACCTGCAAGTCGCGATACATTTCCGCGCGCAGATCTTCGTTCAGTTCGGCTCTTGCCTGCACCATCAGTTCGTTGAAACGCGGATGATCCCATTGCGTGTCATTCCAGGCCGCACCGGGTGCGAAACCGGTTGTCAGCATCGTGTCTTCGATCGAATACCCGCCCCAGTAGCTGGCGCTCCAGGGTTTCTTCATCCAAACGTCGGACCAGTATCCGTCATTCGGCTCGCGAACAACATTGATGTTGATGCCTGCGGGTTTCGCGGAGGACTGGAACAACACAGCTGCGTCCAGGGCACCGCTATAGGCGGCGTCCGATGCACTCAGGTCGATGGTGATGTTTCCGAGACCGGATTTCTCCATATGATGTTTTGCACGATCGGGATCGTAGCTGAGCTGCTCGATATCCGTTGCGTGATACCGGTAGGACGGTCCAATCGGGTGATCATTGCCGACCACGCCGTGGCCAAACAGGATCTTGTCGACCGTTTCCTGCCGATTGATGGCGTATTTGAGAGCCTTGCGCAGTTCCAGGTTGTCGAATGGTGCACGTTTGGTCAGCATCGGGAAGGTGTAGTGCAAGGGCCCGGTGCCTTCTTCGACAATGATACCCGGCTTGCGGGCCATCAGCGCCAGGGTCTTGAACTCCACACGATCGATACAGTCCACTTCGCCTGTGATCAGTGCGTTCTGGCGGGCAACCGGATCTGTGATGGAATGAATTTCAACCGAATCCGCATGTGCCGCGCCGTCCTTCCAGTAGTTGGGATTGCGTTCGAATTTGTACGTCCGGCCGGGTTGTTCGGACGTCAGGACATAGCCGCCCGTTCCGCCTGCTTTCCAGTCGATGCTTCCGTCCTTGGCAGGGTAAATCCCGAAGGTTGCCTCGTTGAAATTATAAGGGAAATCCGCGCTGCCGGAGGACAGCGTGACGACAACCGTATCGCCGTCCGCACTGATATCCGTTACCGAAGCCATGACCGGTTTGCCGACAGACTTTGAATCCTCACCTCTGTGATAATTCAGGGAAGCCACGACGTCTTCGGCGGTCATGGTCTTGCCGTTGTGAAATTCGACCCCGTTCCTCAGCTTGAACGTCCAGACAGTGGCATCAGGAGAAGGACTCCATTCCGTTGCCAGCGAACCGACGAGGTTTCCCTGTGCGTCAAGTTCGGTCAACGTGTTGGCAACTCCGTATGCGATCACCCATTGAAGGCCGTTGGTAAGTGTTGCCGGGTCAAGTGAATCGGACGTCGCTCCATGCCCCATGGCCAGCCGCATGTGGCCGCCTTTCTTGGCGGTAGCGGCAAGCGCTCCACCTGACAGGCTCGTACCCAGGCTCAGCGCCGCTCCGACAGCCGCACTGCGTCCCAGGAACTCACGCCGTGTCATCCGGCCACTTTCCATTTCGCTCAGCAGCCACTTTGCATGTTGGTCTCGTGAATTCATGTCTCAATCCTCCCGCGGATCACCCGGTCAATTCCCTATTCGACCGGGAGACTCGACCGAAAAAACAAAAATGAAAACTTCGCGAAGATATGCTTTTATTAGCTAATTGCATCAAAGTAGCTTCTAACTGCGAAGGATTTGAAGCGAGTGACGGCTGATTTTTCCAGAAATTTGCGCAGCATATGTGCCGAGCACGGGTCAATCGCCCGTGTCTGTCGTGAAATCGGCATCAACAGACAACAGTTCAACAGATATCTGAATGGCACCGGTCTGCCTTCAGCCCACAACATGCGCCGCATCGCCAGGCACTTCGATCTGACCGAAGCCGATCTGTTTTCAAGCCATGAGGAGTTCAATCTCCGCTGTCTGATCGGCAGGCCGAAACAGAGTTCCGGTCCGGCCGACCTCATGACGGCGGCCTTCAGGGATCAGGCAGCAACCCTGCGCCCCTATCTGGGCTTCTACCACGCTCATTTCTGGACACCGACCTGGGACGGAATGATTTTGAAAAGCCTCGTCTGGCTTCGCGAGATAGACGGCTTTGTCACGACCAGATCGCTTGAACGGATCAAGTCAACCGAAGCCAGTCATTCGCAAAAGTCCCGCTACGAGGGTCTTGTCACCCGGCGCGGCAACCGGATCTATATCGTTGAACATGAAATTATGCGCGAAGGCAGTATCGTCGAAACGATTTTGACACCCTCATACCGTCAGGAAGTGAAATACCTTCGTGGCACCACGATGGGAATTGCCTGGCAGCCCCACATCATGCCCTATGCGTCGCGGTCGATCTGGAAACGGGTTGAGGACAAGGTCAGCATCCGCGATGCGGTTCGCGCCTGTGGTGCATTTGCTCCGAACAGCAGGCAGATCGAACCTGCAATCAGAGCATTTTTGACGGAAAATCAGGCGCTTGCGAACACTGCAAACGGGATGAACCTTCTGGTCTAGAGCCAGGTAACCGGAAGGCCGCCTCGACCTTCTAATCCCGCCACACGCCGAACAACGCAGAAGCGTTTCAAGTCACGTCAACCCATCCACCACGCTCGGCAGACGCAAAAATCGCATCAAGGATCTTCATGTTCTGCAGCGCGTCTTCGACACCGTAGGTGAGGGTTGTTTCCCCGCGGATGGCTCGGCCGAAAACATCAGCCAGTTCGGCATACTGGTCACATGGTGCAATCGCTTCCGGCTGAACCGAACCATCGCCAAGCTCCGACCCGTCATCAAGCCGCAATTCGGATGCGTCACCTTGAGGCGAATTGAATGGAATGGGGATTTCAAGGCGCTTCTTCGTCCCGACCAACTGAAGCCGCTGGAATGGTGTCAGCTGCGTCGAAACCGTGAATGTGAGCTGACGTCCCGATCCGAAGTCCATCATGGCGCTTGTAAACCTGTCGGTGCCGAATTCCGGATCGCGGTCGATTAACGAAACCACACGTTGCGGTTCGGCTTCAAAGAAGTAACGGCCCGCAAGCATGGTGTAGCAGCCGATATCCATCAGGGCACCACCGCCCATGTCCGCGCGATTTCGAATGTTGTCCGGGTCGTCGTTGAAAAAGCTGAAGAAGCCCTGGATTGCCTGGAGGTCGCCAAGTTCACCGGAGCGGATGATTTCACGCGCCCGGATCCATTGCGGATGTGCGCGAACCATGAAGCCTTCCGCTATGAGCCTGTCCTTCGGCAGCGAAAGCAGCGTCGATGCATCTTCCGCGCTGAGGGCAATCGGCTTCTCGCAAAGCACATGCTTGCCGGCCTCGACTGCCTGGACCGTTACCGGCACATGCATGTGATTGGGCAGCGGATTGTAAATGGCGTCGATGTCAGGATCGGCAAAAAGCTCTTCATAGGACCCGTAGGCCTTTTCGATACCGAGTTCTCCGGCGATTTCACCCGCCTTGTCGCGATTGCGGGAGGCGATCGCCGCGACAACGCCGGTCTTCGAAGCCTGTATCCCCGGTATGACCTTTTCCCGGCCGATCTTTGCTGTAGAAACGATCCCCCAGCGGATTTTACTGCCATCCATTATCTATTTCTCCCGTTACCGAGGCACAATCGTTAGTTGGCATCAAAAATCCCGGCCTGCAAGACCGGGATCTTCAATACGATGGCCTGAGTCTATCACAGTTCGTCAAAATTTCTGAGGAACATAAAGATGCTCGGGCAGCACCTTGCGTTCGTAGTCCGGATTGAAACGGCGCTCCGGCAGGTTGATCTGCTCGTGTGGTATTTCCTCGTATGGCATCTGCGACAGAAGATGACTGATGCAATTCAGTCGCGCCTGTTTCTTGTCATTACCCTCGACGATAAACCAGGGTGCCTCGGGGATATTGGTACGCTCGAAGGTCTCTTCCTTGGCTTTGGTGTAATCTTCCCAGCGAACACGGGATTCCAGGTCCATCGGCGACAGTTTCCACTGTTTCAGCGGATCGTGAATGCGCATCAGGAAGCGTAGCTGCTGCTCTTCATCCGTGATCGAGAACCAGTATTTGATCAACCGTACTCCGGAGCGGACAATCATGCGTTCAAATTCCGGCACATCGTTGAAGAACTGCTCGACCTCGTCCTCGGACGCAAAGCCCATCACCCGTTCAACACCGGAACGGTTGTACCAGGACCTGTCGAACAGAACCATTTCGCCGGCAGCGGGCAGGTGCGGCACATAACGTTGAAAATACCACTGGCTCTTCTCACGCTCCGTTGGCGCAGGCAAGGCGACGACGCGGGCAACGCGCGGATTGAGGCGCTGGGTAATCCGCTTGATCACACCGCCCTTGCCGGCGGCGTCCCGGCCTTCAAACACAACAACGATCTTCTCGCCGGTGTGCTGAACCCAATCCTGCAGTTTGACCAGTTCCGCCTGAAGCCTGAGCAGTTCGTGAAAGTAAGCGTTCCGGTCGATCGGTGACTTGTGCTTTTTCTCGGAAATGAACTGGAGATCCCTGGCAACCAGAAAGTCATCGATTTCCATTTCCAGTTCTTCGTCGAGAGTATCCGCCCATTCTGCTTCAACCCAGCTCTTTGCACTTTCGTCTGTCATCAATCGATCCCTTTGAACAATCTCAAACCGTTGTCTCTAACCCACGCAGAGTGTGAACAACTTAACCATGTAAGTTTTTTGACAGTCATGCCAATTCGACGAGTTCAACTGCCTTTCATCACATTTTCATCGCCGCAAACAACTTGAAAATGAATGAACGTTCATTTATAGAGTGGACAACGGAGGACGCGATGCAAACGATCGCCACCAGATCTGCACCCGGATCAAAGGGCCAGGAAACCGCAAAACGTGTGCGCAAGGCGGCACTGAAGCGATTTGCAGGTGCCGGTTACGCTGCGGTTTCCATGCGTGAAATTGCTGCCGATGTCGGGGTTCGGCCGGGCGCCCTCTACAATCATTTCCCGACGAAGCAGGACATTTTGAAGGATCTGATGCTGACCCATATGGCAGATCTGCTGACTGCCTGGGACACCGCACGGTTCCCGGAGGCGATGGACCCTCTTGAACGCTTTGTACGCTTCCATATCCGCTACCATCTGGAGCGGGCTGATGAGGTGTTCATTTCCTATATGGAACTGCGCAATCTTGAACCGGACAACTTCGAGATCATCGAAGCGGAACGCCGCCGTTACGAAGCCATCCTGACATCGATCCTGCACGAAGGATCCGCTGCCGGGAGATACAGCGTGGACGATCCGAAAGTGGCGACCAGAGCCATCATCGCCATGCTGACGGGCATCCCGACCTGGTACCGGGAGGGCGGTCACCTGGGTGAACACGACGTCGAGGACCTCTACCTGACCATGGTGCGCAAGGCCGTTGCATCCGAAACCAGAAAATTCCAAACGGAGACCGGATGACATGAGCATCCTGAAATCGAATCTGTCGCCGAGAAGCAGTGACTTTACAGCCAACAGGACTGCTCACGAAGCAGCCATGGAGTCTGTAAAGGAGGCTGCCCGGACAGCCCTCGACGGCGGCGGCGAGAACGCCCGTCTGCGTCACGTTTCCCGCGGAAAGATCCTGCCGCGAGAACGCGTGTCCCGACTGCTTGATCCGGGCTCTCCGTTCCTCGAAGTCGGCATGCTTGCAGCACACGAAATGTATGACGGGGCCGCCCCGTCCGCCGGCATGATTGCCGGCATCGGTCGCGTGGAAGGTCAGGAAGTCATGATCCTCGCCAACGACGCCACGGTCAAAGGCGGCACCTACTATCCGATGTCGGTGAAAAAACACCTGCGCGCGCAGGAAATTGCCTCGGAAAACAATCTGCCTTGCATCTATCTGGTGGATTCGGGCGGTGCCAACCTGCCCAATCAGGACGAGGTGTTTCCGGACCGGGACCACTTTGGCCGCATCTTCTACAATCAGGCGAACATGTCGGCGAAAGGCATCGCCCAGATCGCCGTTGTCATGGGATCGTGCACGGCAGGCGGTGCATATGTTCCCGCGATGTCCGACGAGACCATCATCGTCAGGAACCAGGGCACCATTTTTCTGGCTGGCCCACCCCTGGTGAAGGCAGCGACCGGCGAGGAAGTCACAGCGGAAGATCTCGGCGGCGGCGATGTGCACACGCGCCTGTCCGGTGTTGCCGACCACCTGGCCCGCGACGATGCGCACGCACTTGCGCTTGCCCGGCGCGCCATCGCCAGCCTGAATCGGACAAAGCCGACGCCGTTGACGCTGCAGACGCCGGAAGATCCGCTATACGACCCGGAGGAGATTTTCGGCGTCGTCCCGGCGGACCTGAAAACGCCCTACGACATTCGGGAAGTGATTGCCCGGGTGGTCGACGGTTCGCGGTTTGACGAATTCAAGGCGCGCTACGGCACCACGATCGTTTGCGGCTTTGCCCATATTCACGGCATGCCGGTGGGCATCATCGCCAACAACGGCGTTCTGTTTTCCGAAAGCGCGGTCAAGGGAGCACATTTTGTCGAGCTGTGCTCGCAGCGGAAAGTCCCGCTTGTGTTCCTGCAGAACATCACCGGCTTCATGGTCGGGCAGAAATATGAAAGCGGCGGTATCGCCAAGGACGGTGCCAAGCTGGTCACGGCGGTCGCCACCACCTCCGTACCGAAAATCACCATGCTCGTCGGTGGTTCGTTCGGCGCTGGCAATTACGGCATGTGTGGCCGGGCCTATTCTCCCCGTTTCTTGTGGACCTGGCCCAATTCGCGGATCTCGGTCATGGGCGGAGAACAGGCCGCCGGTGTTCTGGCAACCGTCCGACGGGATGGCATCGAGCGCAAGGGAGGCAACTGGTCGACGGAAGACGAACAGGCCTTCAGGCAGCCGATCATCGAACAATTCGAAGAGCAGGGACACCCCCTCTACGCCACGGCCCGCCTGTGGGACGACGGCATCGTCGATCCGCGCAAGACCCGCGATATTCTCGGCCTTTCTCTTTCGGCTTCGCTGAACGCTCCGATCGAGGACACCCGGTTTGGTCTCTTCAGGATGTAATGTAGATGGATCTGGAGCACCTTAAGCAAAAATACCCCGGCGCCAAAACATTCAGTTTTGGCGATGGCGAGGAGCTGAGCAGCGATCTGATCGGACTCGTGCGGGCCGGAAAGAAGACGGCAACCTGCGGTGCACTTCGCGACTTTGAATCCGGCGAGGAGGCCATGCCCGTGACCGGCCGCAGGGACATCGCTCTCAACTGGAACGGAACACCGGCGCTTGTTCTGGAAACCCTTGATGTATCGACCACACGGTTTTGCGACGTTACAGAAGATTTCGCCTTGGCCGAGGGTGAAAATGAAGACCTGGAAGGCTGGCGCGCAGATCATCAGGCGTTTTTCGAACGCAACGGCGGCTTTGAACCCACAATGTGGCTGGTCTGCGAACGCTTCAGATTGATTGAAGACCTTCAGGACGCGCAGTGCGAAAGGCAAGCCATGAGCCGGATCACGAGTCTTGTAGGAGACATAACGAAAATTGAGGCGGACGCCATTGTCAACGCCGCAAATTCCTCTCTGTTGGGCGGCGGCGGTGTGGACGGTGCGATCCACCGTGCCGCAGGACAGGAACTCGTCCAGGAATGCCGTCTTCTGCATGGTTGCAAGACCGGTCAGGCGAAAATCACATCCGGATACAGATTGCCGGCAAGACATGTCATTCACACTGTCGGGCCGGTCTGGCGCGGCGGTGATGAAGGCGAACCCGACCTGCTTGCCGGTTGCTATGAAACCAGCCTTCGGCTTGCCGCGGAGTACAGTTGCAAGACCGTTGCCTTCCCGGCGATCTCTACCGGCATCTACGGTTATCCAGCCGACCTGGCAGCGGGAACCGCAATCAAAGCCATTCGAAGTGCGCTCGGTGATCTGCCTGGAATCGAAAGCGTCATGCTGGTGGCGTTTGATGAACAGGCCCATGCACATCTCGTGAAGGCGCTGAAGAGGAAAGAAGACTGATGTTCAAGAAAATCCTCATAGCCAACCGCGGGGAGATCGCCTGCAGGGTAATGGCAACCGCAAGAAGCCTGGGAATCAGGACCGTCGCCGTTTATTCCGATGCCGATGCAAACGCCAAGCATGTCGCCATGGCGGATGAAGCGTTCCACATCGGGCCGGCACCCGTATCTGAAAGTTATCTGCAGGTAGACAGGATCATTGAGGCCTGCCGGACAAGTGGCGCCGAAGCAGTCCATCCAGGTTACGGTTTCCTGTCCGAAAACCCGCATTTCGTCGAAGCGCTGGACAAGGCCGGGATTACCTTTATCGGCCCGAGCGCCGATTCCATTCGAGCCATGGGCCTGAAGGACGCGGCCAAGGTCCTGATGGAACAGGCTGGCGTTCCGGTGGTACCCGGCTACCACGGCGACAACCAGGATCCGGCTTATCTGAAGGCGCGGGCAAGCGAAATCGGTTATCCGGTTCTCATCAAGGCGCGTGCCGGCGGTGGCGGCAAGGGCATGAGGCGTGTCGACGATCCTGCAGATTTCCTGGAGGCTCTGTCCGGAGCACAACGCGAAGGCGAGGCCAGTTTCGGAGATGATCAGGTGCTGATTGAAAAATATCTCACCAGGCCGCGTCATATCGAGATCCAGGTATTTGGCGACACACATGGCAACGCGGTTCATCTGTTTGAGCGGGACTGTTCCCTGCAGAGACGTCATCAGAAGGTGATCGAGGAAGCCCCTGCCCCCGGCATGACGGATGAAATGCGGGCCGCGATGGGCAACGCGGCGGTCAAGGCCGCAAGAGCCATCAACTATTCGGGGGCTGGAACCATAGAGTTCATTGCTGACGTTTCCGAAGGCCTAAATCCTGACCGGTTCTATTTCATGGAAATGAACACACGCCTTCAGGTCGAGCATCCGGTCACGGAATTGATCACCGGAGAAGATCTCGTTGAATGGCAACTTCGTGTCGCATCCGGCGAGCCCCTGCCGAAACTGCAGCAAGAACTTTCCTTCTCCGGCTGGGCTTTCGAGGCAAGGCTCTACGCTGAAGACGCTCCGAAAGGATTTCTTCCGGCAATCGGCACGCTGGAGCACTTGTCCCTGCCTGAAAGGATTGCACGAGTGGACAGTGGTGTTCGCCCCGGCGACGAAATTACACCTTACTACGACCCGATGATTGCCAAGGTGATCGTCAACGGCCCGACCCGGGACGCAGCGCTCGGCAAACTGCTTTCGGCTCTGGAAGCTACGGAAGTTGCCGGCTGCGTGACCAATGCCGGTTTCCTGTCCGCCCTTTGCCGGCACGAGGATTTTGCGGCTGGTGATGTCGATACCGGTCTGATCGACCGGGATCTTGAAGACCTCATTGAAGAACCTGAAGTCCCGGAAGACGCTGTGGCGCTCGCCGCGCTCACGGCCCTCGGCCTGACAAGACCTGCTTGCGGAAACGATCCGTTCGAAACTCTGGCAGGGTGGCGCATCTGGAGCGCATCGCGCCAGTTCGCACTCCTTGAGGTCGGTGGTGAACGCCGCGACACCGAAGTTCGCGCTCTCGGTAATCGGCGGTTCGCGGTACATCTTGAGGGTGGGGTACGCACCTATACGATCATTGATGTCGACGGCGGCACCTTCACCTACGACTGCGAAGGCCATCGTGCCAGTACTGTTGTGGTCGAAAGTACCGATGGTCTTACCGTCTTCTTGAACGGGCACGCATTTGCCATCGGTTTGCCCGATACGCTGAGCGCTGACGAAGAAGCAACCGTTGCCGGCGATCAGCTGATTGCGCCGATGCCAGGTCTGGTTAAGGTCTTGTCGGCAGCGCCCGGCGATACCGTGACCAAAGATCAACCGCTCGTCATCCTTGAAGCCATGAAAATGGAACACACACTCAAGGCACCGCGAGATGGCGTGATCGCGGAAATATTCGCCACGGAAGGCGAGCAGGTAACCGACGGCACGACGCTTCTTGCACTTGTGGAGGAAACCGATGCTGCTGCCTGACGCTGATAGCTACGACGCGCTGACGGCGAGATTTGCGTGGAACATTCCGGAGCGGTTCAACATCGGAGCCGCGGTCTGTGACGTCTGGGGGGACAGGGAACCAACCCGCGAAGCGCTGATCTATGTTGACGAGGGCGGCGACACCGCCCGTTACACCTACGCCGACCTGAAGCGCCTGTCGAACCAGCTTGCCAATCTGCTCGTCAGCCGCAACGTTGCGCCCGGAGACCGAATTGGTGTCCTGCTGCCACAACGTCCGGAAACCGCATTTGCGCATATCGCCGCGCTGAAACTGGGTGCCGTCACCATACCTCTCTTCACGCTGTTTGGCGAGGAAGCCCTGGAATACAGGTTGCGCGATTCAGGTACGAAGGCGGTAATCACAGATGCCGGCGGGGCTGCGAAGCTGGCAGGGCTTCGAGACCGGCTACCGGAATTGACCACTGTCTTTTGTGTCGATGGCGAAGATGGCAGCGCGGATGACCTTGCCAGTCACATGGCAGGACACGAGGATGTTTTCACGCCTTTCGATACCGCCGCCGACGATCCTGCAATCATCATCTACACTTCCGGCACCACCGGCCAGCCCAAGGGCGCACTGCACGGACACAGGGTCCTGCTCGGCCATCTGCCCGGCGTTGAAATGAGCCACGATTTTCTTGGGCAGCCGGGGGATCGCATCTGGACGCCCGCTGACTGGGCCTGGATCGGCGGTCTGCTCGACGTGCTGATGCCTGCACTCTACCTCGGGGTTCCAGTCGTTGCCTGCCGCTTCCGGAAATTCACCGCAGAAGCAGCTTTCCAGCTTCTGGAGGATCAGAAGGTCCGGAACGCCTTTCTGCCCCCAACAGCGCTCAAGCTGATGCGGCAGGTGCCGCAACCACGGGAAAGGTGGACTTTCGAGCTTCGCTCCGTCGCATCGGGGGGCGAAACACTCGGGACGGAACTGATCGACTGGGGCCGCAAGACTTTCGGTCTGACGATCAACGAATTCTACGGGCAGACCGAGTGCAACATGATCGTCTCCAGTTGCAGTCGGATCATGGAAACCCGCCCGGGCATCATGGGTCGTGCCGTCCCTGGTCATCATGTCGCGATCGTCGACGACAATGGCCGGGAACTGCCTCCGGAAACGCTCGGCAACATTGCCGTCAAACGGCCGGATCCCGTAATGTTTCTCGAATACTGGAACAACCCCGACGCAACGAAAAGGAAATTCGCAGGCGACTGGCTGCTCACCGGCGATACAGGTGTCCGCGACGCCAGAGGCTGGCTGCGCTTTGTCGGACGCGATGATGACGTCATCACGTCATCCGGCTATCGCATCGGACCGGGTGAAATCGAGGACTGCCTCATCCGTCATCCGGCTGTTGCCATGGCGGGCGTCGTCGGCAAACCGGACCCGCAACGAACGGAAATCGTCAAGGCCTACATCGTTCTGAAACCCGGCATCGAACAAACCGACCGGCTCGCCGCGGAAATTGCCGACTTCGTCAAGACCCGGCTGGCTGCCCACGAATACCCGCGGGAAGTCGCCTTCGTTGACGCGCTGCCAATGACGACCACGGGCAAGGTCATCCGGCGGGAACTGCGCTCCCGCGCCCAGCAGGAGGCGTGAGACCATTGTTCGCAATGGACCCGATGCCCCCGCGCGTCATCGCTGTAATTTCTTGGGACCAGATCTCTCCATGCCCGGCAACATTCTCAAACGCATTGGCATACTGGGATCAGGCATGCGCGATGCCTGTCCGTGACGACAATGTACAAGATCTTTCGCCGCTAACCGGTTTTCCGAAATGAGTCAAAAAATGTCCGAATTCGTAACCATCTTCGAAATGGGGCCTCGCGATGGACTGCAGAACGAAAAGCAGTTTGTTCCGACCGAATTGAAAATCCAGCTTGTTGACAGGCTTTCAGACTGCGGCTTCCGGAAAATCGAGGTGACGAGTTTTGTCAGCCCCAAATGGGTGCCGCAGATGGCCGATGCACAAGACGTCATGGATGGAATTTATCGCCATCCGGCCGTCGTCTATTCGGTACTGACACCGAACGTCAAGGGCTACACGGCGGCGCGCAAGGCGTCCGCGGACGAAGTTGCGATTTTCGGGTCGGCATCTGAGGGGTTTTCCAGGAAAAACATCAACTGCTCTGTCGCTGAAAGCATCGAACGGTTCAAACCGCTTCTTGAAAAGGCGCAGCACGATGACATGCCGGTACGTGGTTATGTCTCCTGCGTAACGGATTGTCCCTATGACGGACCGACACCTCCTGAGAAAGTCGCCGACGTTGCAAGGCAGCTGTTTGAACTCGGCTGTTATGAAATTTCGCTTGGCGACACGATCGGGGCAGGAACGCCCGAAACCATCGGCAAGATGCTGGATGCGGTTCTGGAGCATGTTCCGGCGAGCAGGCTGGCGGGACACTTCCATGACACCAAGGCGCGGGCGCTGGAAAACATCGAGGTTAGTCTTGCAAGGGGACTGCGTATCTTCGACGCGGCGGTCGGTGGCCTCGGCGGTTGCCCGTATGCACCGGGAGCAAAGGGAAACGTGGCAACCGAGTCGGTTGTTGCACTTGTTGAACGCATGGGATTTGAAACCGGCATCAAGTCCGACCGTCTGGCTGAAGTTGTGGAGTTTGCCCGCGGCCTGAGGAGGACCGACGCATGAGTTTCGAGACAATTTCCATCTCTGCGGACGACCGCGGCGTCGCTACCCTGTTGTTGAACCGGCCCGAAAAACACAATTCACTCTCGGCCCGGATGATTGCCGAGCTGGCGGAGGCCGCAGAAAATCTCGGAAATGATCCCGATGTGCGGGCCGTGATCCTGACCGGTGCAGGGGCAAGTTTTTGCGCCGGAGGCGATCTCGGCTGGATGCGCGAGCAGTTTGAAGCCGACCGGATGCAGAGGATGGCCGAAGCGCGCAGGCTCGCCATGATGCTGAAAGCTCTCAATGAACTTACAAAGCCGCTGATTGGACGAGTGCAGGGCCAGGCCTTTGGCGGGGGCATCGGCATGATGAGTGTCTGCGACACCGTCATCGCCGTTGAAGGCGCCAAATTCGGATTGACGGAGGTCCGACTTGGGCTCATTCCGGCAACCATCAGCCCCTACGTTCTCGCGCGCATGGGCGAAGGCAAGGCGCGACGTGTTTTCATGTCGGCCCGCATCTTCAGCGCGCACGAGGCAAAGGACCTGAACCTTGCCGCCAACGTCGTGTCGGCCGAGGAACTGGATACCGCGGTGGAAAGCGAAATCAGGCCCTATCTCGCGGCCGCACCTGCTGCCGTTGCAGCTTCAAAGGCACTGGCAAGGTCGCTCGGTCCATCGATCACTGACGAGATTATCGAAGACACGATTGGCCGGCTCGCGGATACCTGGGAAACTCCGGAGGCGCGTGAGGGGATCAACGCATTCTTTGACAAGAGAAAACCGGCATGGGTGTCTGGCTGATCAGGTCGTCTGACGTCTTGCGTGCTCGATCAGGGCGGCGATCCGCGCAACTTCGACCTGTTCCGACTTTGGCGCTTCCTTTTCCGGTTCGCCATACATGCGCTCCCTGCGCCGACGGATTTTCTTGCGCTGCCACTCACTGATGCCTTCCGGCAGCTCGATGCCCGCCCGGTCCATGCCGATCAGGATCCTTTGAAGATCAGGTATCAGTTCCGACGAAATTGTGAAGGTTCCGTTGGCAGGGTGCTTGAAGACCAGCGTCTTTGTGCTTTCAGCGCCATTCAGCAGAACAGCTTTCTTGTGTCCGATCGAACCCATGGTCGACTGGAACCATGCAACCCAGCCGGATGCCTCCCAAAGGCGGACTTCGACTTTTTTCAGCTCGTCATAGGGAACCCGGGCGCGCAATCCGAATTGGGTAAACTCAAATCCGTTGCCGAAAAAACGGACCCAGGATGTCTCTTGCCGGACAGCCACTGCAAAGAATGGAAAACACGCACACGCCGGAACCAACAGGCACAGGGAGATGAGTGCGAGCGCTCCTGTGGTGCTGCCCATTCCGATGAAGGCGAGTGAGAAGAACAAAATTCCAAGTGTGAACCCCAGCGCGTCGAATACGATGATTGACGGCCGGCAAACCGGTTTGACCGCTCCGGAAGGAGCAGATGGTTTGGGAAGTGCCGCATAGATACCCGCCGCCGCGACGAGGCATAACAGGCTGTTCAGCAGCGACATGAAGAAAAATCCGCAAACAATCGCAAAGACGCTGAGGCTCAAAGGTAATACGCGGCGAATAAATTCAATCTTGGCTGTTTTGCCCAAACCGCTCTCCATGCTTTCAGACAGCGAAACCGTAACAGACTGGGGAAACTTACTGATTCTGCCATTGAATCAACAGGAGAGATGTAAATCAACAACCAGATCATTCTATCCAAAAACAATGTAACCAATAATCTGAGTTTTTGCCGGCAAACTCGATTCAATTTGGAAGTAAAACCAGCCATCCTGAATTCCGGTGTTTCCGGTAACCAATTGTAATATATAATACTTGATGCAAAAAATATCCGAACGGTCGACAATGACATCCTCAATTCCTCCGAAACTCTCCTGTGATCCGGTTAACGAATACCTGCGACGCAGGTGTTTGCGTGCGAGGAAGGAGGCAGCAGAAAATTGACTTCGACAAGCAAAGCCAAATGATCGAACGGTTACACCAGCCTTCCCGTTTCCGGTAGCTCGCCCACGAGCTTGTCATGAACCATCGTTAGGCCAGCACCCTCAGGCGCCGCGGCGGCGGCGATGACACAAGTCGAGGAAAGATTGAGTTCCTTGTCCCGGAAGAACGGTTCACCGCGCGACTTGCTCCACGCGCGCCATGTCGCGGTTGTTCCGGCACAATCGAAAAGAACGGCGGCTCTGACGCAGTGCGAGCCAGAAGACGTGAAATGCCATGTTGCCTTGCACCGTCATGTCTTTTCCCGTCTCCGCACCGATAAATGCCCGAGTTTGGCTTCCAGACTGCGAACATGTCGACTGACCACAAATTGTGTCAAATGGAGCCCGGCCGCCACCCGCGTGAAACAGAGGTGACGTGCTGACGCCTCAAAGGCACGCAGCCAGGTAAGCGGTGGCAGATTTGAGTGCTGCATCACGCGCATAACCTGTACATTGGTTTTCCTTCTGTCATATCCTTGAATCCATTGTTCGTCAGTCCAGGTTCAGCTTGCCAAAATCACCGAACGCCATGAGGGAGAAGCCCGATGTTGCAGGTAGCGGAAAACAGAAATCTGACCCATTGGCAGGAACGTGTGGATATGGCTGCGACGTTTCGCTGGACCGCGCGGCTCGACATGCACGAAGCGGTCGCAAACCATTTCAGCCTCGCAGTGAATGACGACGGCACACAGTTCCTCATGAACCCGAACCAGCGCCATTTCAGCCGCATCAAGGCATCTGACCTTCTGTTTCTGGATGCAAACGATCCTACGACAATGGAAGGGCCAGACGCCCCTGATCCGACGGCCTGGGGGTTGCACGGATCCCTCCACCGCCTTTGCCCGCATGCCAGGTGCGTCATGCATGTTCATTCGATCCACGCAACTGTGCTCGCCTGTCTCGCGGACAGCAATCTGCTGCCCATCGATCAGAATACGGCAATGTTTTACGGTCGGTATGTCATCGATGAGGATTTTGGTGGCCTTGCCTTTGAAGAGGAAGGGGCCCGCTGTGCAACACTGCTCTCCGACCCCAAGGTCAAGACGATGATCATGGGCAATCACGGAGTGCTGGTAATCGGTGACACTGTCGCGGACACGTTCAACCGTCTTTACTATTTCGAGCGGGCAGCGGAGACCTATATCCGCGCCTTGCAGACTGGCCGCCCATTGCGCGTTCTGTCCCACGAGATTGCGGAAAAAACGGCGCAGGAGCTGGAAGACTACACCAGCCAGGCCGACCAGCACCTCAGCGAACTCAAGGCCATTCTCGACGGTGAAAACTCGGACTACGCCAGCTGAAAATGCGCGACTAGGTGCCGTCAGTTGCTGCGTCTTCGGTGTCCGGCTGGACAAGAAGATCCTGAAATCAACCGCCTCCCGTTCCGACAAACCGGGACTTGTCTATCTTGCGGACTTGCGAAAAGGATCTGCGGACTGCTGATCACCCAGCGACGATTGCCCGGCATGTCGACAAGTGCGCAAACTTCGACACGAAACGGCGTCTCGTGTCTCCGGCACCCATGTCTTCAGGCTTGGCAAATGAAAAAGTGGTGCCGCTGATAGGACTCGAACCTACGACCCCATCATTACGAATGACGTGCTCTACCATCTGAGCGGCCAAGAGGCCTGCATAGAAGACTAAATGAATTCAGCTGCTTAGGGCAGTCTACGATCTTCTATGCGCTACAGCAAGGCCCGATTTCGTCACGCCAATTTTGCTCGTAGTGTGCCGAGAGTGTGCCAAGTTCTATGGAATATACACTCTCGAGCGATACCCGCAAAATTGAGGTCTTTGTGTTTTACAGAAAGAGGGATGATTACCGCATCTCCATTTTGTTCATGGGTAACGACGCATCTTACGATGCTCTGTCATTTTTTTGCGATGCAGCGATGGTAGAGGGGATTACTCCTCCAGAGGCAGAACGCGAACGCCTTAAGCCAACATTCGACCGTGTTAGTGAGACACACACCAACTCTTGCACTGTTGCAGATAAATAGAGGGCTTCCCGCAAAGGCGCGACATAGCTCAACCGTTGAACCGCTCAATGAAGTTACGATTATTCCCATGGACCTGATGCGATCAGGGCTCGATGATTTGCAATAAACTCAGACAGGAGTGAAACCGAATCCAAAGTCGGTGAAGCGGTTTTGGATATTTGGGTGCCAATGGACTTCAATGCTGCTCGACTTTGCGTTGCTTTCTTTGAAGTGGATTTTTGAGATCCGTCTAGCGTAAGTTTTTGTCTCGGTGTGCCAAACGACTGGAAAGGTCGCCGGAGACCACCCCGATGCAGTCTCGCTCTTGTGCACTGTCCGCGCCTTTTGCTCCGAAATACGCAATGTACCACCATATTTATGAATGCTTTTGAGTTCGCACTCTGTGATGTGTGCTCCAGGATAGTTTTCATGAAATTCTTTGAGGACTATCTGATTTAAACTATCAACAACTCCAGCTTGCATAGTCCCATCGACAAAACTCGACGAAAATTTTGAAAAACCGCCAATTAGAGCCATGCTTGTTTTGGCTTGCAGATCGAGCCGGACCAATGCTTCATCCAATTGCCCGACCATTTCTCCTTTCGAGTTGCGAACCCTATTGACGTATTTGTACGCTAGAACCTTGTCGGCCATCCTATCGCGAGCAAACCACTCTGGATTTTGGTCAAACTCTTTGTCAATCAGCGTATATGCCGCGATTATCAGCTTGGCTTTCATCTTGTCCAAATGTGTGCGAGCCTCGGCCAAAATATCCGTTCTATTGTAGCCCACTCCTCCGAAAATCGACACACTCTTCGCAGCACCAACAGTGCTAAGAGTTGCATTTGTCATGCTCAACTCGCTGAGGATTTTGTTTTTATCAACCGCTGTAAAGTTGTCTATGTTCTTTATCAGCTTTCGATACTGATCAGGGTTGATCGCTGGTGAGCCAGCTTTAAAGACAGCGACCATCGCTGGAGCAAAAAATGGTGTCACCACGGCCAGTGGTTGAAGCACATAATCTAGGGCGCTGACTGCATTCAACTTATCAAGGTCGTTCAAAATTGAGACCGTGATTGCATCCCCAACACCTCTATGAGCGGAATTTGCCCAATCGCTAATGAGTAGGTGCGCAGTGTTCTTAGCGATCTCTTTTGCGTTATTTTGGGTCATTACAGCCTCCCTAAACTATTTGTAAGAACGGAGCTCTACTAGCCGATTTGATTTGTCGTTTTTTACAGTAATCAGCAAGCACAACTCATTGTACGTGCGCTTAATACAAATTATTAGCAGATTTTTTTGTATGAAAATGTGATTTTCGGCACGTTTATGAGAATAATTACTTATAGTTGAGAGAAAATATGAAATAAAATTGCAAGTTACGCAATCATCCCTAAATTTAACTAGATAATTCTATTTTATTACTCTGTGATTTTTAGGATTGTGAACTTTAGCGCTACTTGATCGAAAGCTTTGCACCCAGTTCAGCGCCGATCTGGCGAGACGTTTGATGTTGGCAGTAATCAGGTTAAGGAGCTCTTTGCGAAGCCATTTTGGAAGTCTAGTTTCGCTATGGCAACGCGATGATCTGGAGGCTGGACATGCATGTGAGGCTGGAATTAGCAACCATGATTGACAATTACAAAAACAATGCGTCCATCGAGCAGTACGACAAGGTCTACTACGAGATCATACAGTTCGTTGACTCAATTCGAGAAGATGCGGGCATACTCGAACTCAACATGATTTGCCGGTTGGCCTACTCATGGATGCCAACAATATTGGGAGAAATATCTCCGGCCAGAT